GGGGGGGGGGGCATGAAGTGGTTCCAGGAGCCATAGGTATTCAGATCCTGATGAGACAGCCCTCCAGATTCTGGGGCTGCCTGGGAGGGCTGAGGCAGCCAGAATCTCCTGAGGGAGAAGAGGCTCAGATTAGGCCTGGAAAGATAGGGAGACCTCCTTAGCAGAAGCCCAAGAACATGGTCAATTGCCTGCTTTTTCTGTAGTTTTGCTACAATTCTCTCCCTTCCTTCTTGACTTCCTTCCCCTGATTCTCTATCACAAGAGTGACAAAGCTACCTATCCTTTCCTTGTATGCCCACGGCCATAACAGACACCGCTAACCAATCCTGACAGTCAGAGCAGCTCCAGGAAGTTATTACTAGTCAATTAGAGTTGGAACAAGAGCTAGAACCTATTTGCTAATCCTGCTGAGCAATCTGGTCCCCTCACTCTTCTGCTCAGTGCCCATCTGCTCACTGAGGCCCAGAGAGGCCAAGTGACCTGCAGGGGGTTGCCCAGTTCTTAGGGGGGCCACATGAGAGTATATGTCCCTCCATGGATGGACTGGCTCTTGCCTTTCCATTTGTCCACATCTTGAGTCTGTGCATGTGACCAAGCCTGGTCTTATCCCCCAGTGACCCCAGGCATGAAGATCTACATCGACCCTTTCACCTACGAGGACCCCAATGAGGCAGTGCGGGAGTTTGCCAAGGAAATTGACATCTCCTGTGTCAAAATTGAGCAGGTGATCGGAGCAGGTAGGTGGCTGGTGCCCTCCCAGGGTACTGTGGCCTCAGCCACAGGTGGGGTGACCACCCCAATGTGTACTCCTGGGACGGAGGGTAGGATGTGGGGCAGGAGCCTCAGAGAACCCTCCAAGGCCTGAAGGCTCAGAATGCCCAAAGTGGAAAAGTCCCTTAAAGGTCATCCAATACAACTACCTCGTCAACAGAGAAGGACACTGAGGCACGGGGCTGGGAAGGAGCTTGCACATCACATCAGAGACTGAGCTAGGCCTGGAGCCCAGTTCTCTGGACTCAGTCCAGTGCTTTGTCCTTCCCGCCGTTCATCCCATGTCCCTCTGTCCATCTCCCCAGGCTCCCCTACATCCTCACTCCACGCGCATCCAACACCATGGGATAGCCATGAAGAGTTCACTCATACTCCCAAAGGTGGCTGGGAATTTTTGGGGTCCCCATGTTCTACAAAGGGTTCTGTGTCCAAGAGGTTGAGTCGACCATTGAGGAGGCCCCAGGAGTAGAGGTTACAGGGAACAAGGCGGTGACACTTCCACCTGGCAAATGATATCTTGCCCCTCTTGGTGTGTCTGTCCAGGGGAGTTTGGTGAGGTGTGCAGTGGCCACCTGAAACTGCCAGGCAAGAGAGAGATCTTTGTAGCCATCAAGACGCTCAAGTCGGGCTATACTGAGAAGCAGCGCCGGGACTTCCTGAGCGAGGCCTCCATCATGGGCCAGTTTGACCACCCCAACGTCATTCACCTGGAGGGTGTTGTCACCAAGAGCACGCCTGTGATGATCATCACTGAGTTCATGGAGAACGGCTCCCTGGACTCCTTCCTCCGGGTAGGGGAAGCCAAGAGTGCCAGAGACCATGGGTGGGTCAGGAAAAGGAGTGGTGGACATAGCTTCATACTGTCAGAGCCTAAAAGGGTCTTGGAAAGGATCTAGATCAGGAATGGCTTGTATGTTGCCACTTTCCATTCCCTTACCCATGGCAGACATTGTTAATCTATCCCAGAGGTCTCCAACCACACCCAGAAGCAAATCTCAGAATCCTCAATCTAGGACACTACAACCAGTTGATCAGAGTTGGCCTACAACCTGAAATCTGTTGCCATCCATGCTCTTAGACAGCCTTCTCCTTATGCACAAGAGGAAACTGAGGCTCAAAGAGAGGTAGAGCTTGCCCAGGGTCATCCAGAGGATCAAGGTGAAAGCCAGGTCTACAGCCAGGTCTCTTGACCCCTTCTCCAGAATTTTCACAGGATTTTGGATTCCTCCAAAGCACAAGGCCAACAGAGGAAAGTTTCAGGCCCCCTAGGAAGTTATAGGCAACCAGATAGACCAAGATCACTCACAAGGAGTCCGAAGGGTGCCACTGGACTAGTTGCCATTTAGCAAATATTTTCCAGACACCTAGTATGTGCCAAGTCCCTTCTATGCACCCTCTTGTTTAACTCAGACAGCACTGGGAGGTGGGTGTCACTTATCCCCATTTGACACACACTTGAGGAAACTGAGACTCAGAGAGGTTAGGTCACTTGTCCCAGGTTGCATAGCCAGCAAGGGGTAGAGCCAGATTCAGACCAGCTGTGCCTGCTGCAGTCTGTTCTCCCCGCCACCCTGAAACTGGCCACCCTGAAACGGAGCCTAGGCCAGGGTGGCAGGGCCGTGGTTACCCGTTGTGAAGATGACCCAGAGTCTGATGCAAACCCTTGCATTTACTCTGCATTTTCTCCACTTCTCCCGAAGCAAAACGATGGGCAGTTCACAGTCATCCAGCTGGTGGGGATGCTGCGGGGCATCGCAGCTGGCATGAAGTACCTGGCAGACATGAACTACGTTCATCGTGACCTGGCCGCCCGCAACATCCTTGTCAACAGCAACCTGGTCTGCAAGGTGTCTGACTTTGGCCTCTCACGCTTTCTGGAGGACGATACCTCAGACCCCACCTACACCAGCGCCCTGGTAAGATGGAGACAGGGAACACCGGAGTCACGGTGCCAGGGCAGAGGGCCTAAGCATCCATCTCTCCCTGCACTACGTTTTCACCCACCCCTGCTCAGGCCAGGCACTGTGCTGGGCCCTGGAGATACAGAAACAGAAACATGGTCCCTGTCCTCTTCAAGCTCACAGGCTGGTGGGGACACATATTTGCAAGAGCTACATGGAGTGACAGGGCTCTGAGCCAGGACACCAGCTTTGGGAGGCAGAGGAAGGCTTGCTGGAGGGGGTGATATCTAGCTAGTAAAATTGTGTCAGATGCCATGTTTTCCCAGCAAGGTGATACCAGAATATAGTCTGTGAGGGGAAATGTGGTTAGTGAGAGAGGGGAAGGATGGACAGGGCTAGATCTTGGAGATCCTGAATGCACATGCTCACCACTCTCTCCTGAAAGCAGTTGGAGTTGTTGAAGGGTTTTAAACAGGAAGGATTAGGACACAGTCCCTGCCCTCAAAGAGCTCCGAGAGAGTACAGTCGGAGCCAGGCAAGTAGCAAATGATCTGAGTATTGCGCTGTATGAGAAGCGCCTCCTTGATGGAGAGACATGGCACAGTTGTAGGATTCAACAGCGTGAGCAACTCTTTGGGACTTAAGGAAAGACTTTCAGAGGGACTTACAGGAGGAGGAGGTTTCCAGGTGGCAGAGTGGGGAAAGCCACATCACGCAAGGAACAGCCTGTGCAAATGCCCGCGGTCTAAAGCAGCACGGTGAGCTTGGGGAGCAGCAGGCTGCTTCATACGACTGGTGAGAGCAGAGGCCAGGCCGGGCAGCCTCCCGCCCATCAGCCCGCATTCGCTCCACAGGGCGGGAAGATCCCCATCCGCTGGACAGCCCCAGAAGCCATCCAGTACAGGAAGTTCACCTCAGCCAGCGACGTGTGGAGCTACGGTATCGTCATGTGGGAGGTGATGTCCTACGGGGAGCGGCCCTACTGGGACATGACCAACCAGGACGTAAGTCTCCAAGAGAGCCAGATCGGGGAGAGGGAGATCCAGCATTCTTGGCCTCTTGCTGATCTCCCAGAGAGTGGAAGCATCGTCTCTGAGATCCCGGGCAAAGGCAGATCCCAGCCCTATGATGGCTGATTCAAATGTCTGCACAGGACCCTGGACTCTCCAGGGGGTCAAGAGTAGGAAAAGCCCACCATCTATAAATCAGCAAACCTTTAGGATGTGTTCACCTTTTGGCCAGCCCTGAATGAGACTATGTCTGCCCATCAGGTGTTTAATTTGGGGACAATATGATTATTCTGGGAACCCACGGTGAGGTCCATCCCTGGGGCTGCCTGGAAGAAGGTGGAGGGCAACCAAATGGGTGTTCTGAAATGCACTGGGGGCAAGTTAGGCCCGGCCAGAGGGCAGATGCTCTTACCCACCCACCCAACCCC